TGAACAGCATTTTTCCGGCGGCTATTTAAGTTTGTCACATTCCCAAAGAAAATAAATATAGAGAAACTGATAAGACAGTCACAGTTGAGCCTCATATTTAACAGGTAACGGTCGTACAAAGTTATGATGGTAAAGTGCGTTTTGTTTTTTTACCTACAGCTCTCCATCCCAGACCGTCGACCCCGCTGTCAATCAGTCTACAGAAAGACCCCATCAGCACCGGCGGGACGTCGAAGAGCAACGTCGACGTGTCTATTTTACCTGACATGTTTCGCTAGTCTTGACGACACAGGTGTGTGAAGTTGGACTAGATTTATATGGTTCATTCCTCTCGAACTGATGACTCTACAGTGCTCTCTTGTGTTGATAACTCTTGCTACAACACGGAAATTCCCAAACCCCACCTACTTCCTCTTAATAATTTGGCTCGTATGAAAGGTTGCAGCCCATACAACAAAACAAAACAACACACACACACACGTTTACTTAGCTATCTAAATGGGGACATTACATAGACTTGTATTGTTTTTATATACAGATAGTTATACACTTTTTTAACATCCAGCTATTAATTTAGCAAATTAATACATTATATACTTAATAATTATTATTATTATTTATTAATAAATAATTATTACATCCTTGTATCATTTACTATTTTATTACTAATGTAATAACCTATTTAATAACTATTTTATTATACATTTGTATTATTAATTTAATATATAACAATGGATAGTAAAAAAAAGGCAATAATGAAATATACAAATTATTAAGTATACATACAAGTAAACATAAAATCTAAAAAAGCAATTGATATGTGAAGAGACTTTTGATACAATGATACAGTTGTATCGACATTGATACAGTTGATATGTGATTGACAATTCTCTGTAAACTGTAAAAGATGTTTAAATGGTCTGGCCATCCTTCTCACTGTAATCAGAGATAAAGTTCATTTACAGCTCTACAATGTGCAATAGAGAAGACTTCAATGCAAAGAATTAGTGAAAAATAATTAGGCTAGTAGCTTATCTAAAAGGGCAAGTGGAAATAAAAATATAAATTAAACAGAAATTGTTAAAAATGTCAATATCAGTCTTAATATACTTTTTTAGTAAGACAATGACACAAAATGTAATTAATAGTTTAGCTTGACAAACTGTAGATGATCGCCCTATTCTCTAAACAAATACATTTTAATTTTGAATACTGTGCATTCACACAATCTACAGCTGTGCATTTTGACTGTTTTAGCTTTACATGTTGGGCTCTGCGGAAAGTCATGAGATGTTCAATAAACATGCCGTGTCAAACCACAAGGTATCTTCTAGAAACACACACATTGCACTCACCCCAAGAATAGGCATTTTTATTGCCCATGTGTCGAACACTGCAGGCGTAGTTCTGTCCTCTCTCTGGTTTGAAGGTGACGCTCTTGGTAAGGTGAAACTGCCAGCCCTTTTCGAAGGCCAGGTCAGTCTGCTGGGTATTTGGGAGAATCTCGCCATCCTTCAGCAGTTCAATGGTGATATCAGGAGGGTGGAAGCCACTGACATGGCAGATTAGGGTGTTCTCCTTTCCATACTCTCCAGGAAAATGGCTGTACACCTGGACCTTGGGACTGGCTGAAAGTATAGAATTTAAAATATTGGTTTACAAAGATAACATGGAAATAAATATTATCGTAACACACATTTAAAATATGATAAACATAACAAAAAACACCAAATAAAAATGTATTTCATCCATTTTGACTCTAGACAAAGGAAACTGGGAGGGAAATGTTTTCCGATTCATGAATTTTCCCAAACAAAAGACAAATTGCATCAGAATTCCTCACTCACACTCAGAAAAACTGATTATGCAATTAATAAAAAAGAAAAACAATGTGTTTGGCAGCAGGTAACATACAAATTATGATTTATTATATTTCTCAATGTTAGTCACTGTAGTTGTAAGCCCATAAAATAAAGACTATTAATATGTTTAAACTGTGGCTTTTCAATTACAATAAGACCTAACTTTGGTTCTAAATACAAATTAAACTACTTTAAGTGACATGACGCACTGTTTTTAAACAATTTCAAATTTATGCTAGGAAACAACCCTTAAAAATATTGATTAAATCACTTTACTATAGATACAGACACAGGCTAGCACTTAAATCTATGTACTTAGATAATTCCTGAGGGAAACTTCTCATGCATATCAGAAATAATCAACAGAGTAACACAACACAATAAACAAACCATACAGTATTTACATATTCATTATGAATTACTTACATGTTTTCCCTTGTACAGTGACGTACAGCACACAGAACAGGGCAAAAGTGATGAGTGCTCTCATTTTTGGTGATTTAGTCCAGAGTTTTAAGAAGAGTATGCTTCGGCTCTCAGGTCCAATGCAGTTAATATCGAAAGTAAACGACCAGTAACCTTAAATGCACTGTCACCACCGACACCAGCACAGCCTCCAAAATAACAGGCAGCCAATAGCAAAATTGCTACAAGTTGTTACTAGGTGGATTTGATATAGGGAGGTTATACAGACTGTGGCATTGGTCTGGTGGAAAACAATCCCTTTGGAAATACCCTAAATTACCTAAACAATAATAAGACTCCTCCCTCTTCTTTGTTCTCATAAACATAACCAATCCACCATTATGCAAATTGACATCGCCAAAAGTATTGAAAAACAATATTTATAATAGTGGTAACACTTTACCATAAGGTCCCATCAGTTAACATTAGTTAATGCATTAACTAACATAATCTAACAATGAGCAATACATTTGTTACAGTATTTATTCATCTTTTTTAACTTTAGTTAATAAAAATACAACTGTTAGTTCATGTCAGCTCAGGTCCATTAAATAATGTTAACAGATATTAACTTTTAATACACAAGTAAATGTTGAAATTAATATTAACTAAGATTAATATATGCGTTACAATTATTTTTCATTGTTAGTTCAGGTTAACAAATGTAGTTACCTAATGTTAACAAATGGAAATGGAACATTATTGTAAATTGTTATCATAATAGTAAAGATTAGGTAATGTAATTTGTAAATGGGCAAATATATGGCAAATTTATTTTAGCAGTAGTGGACTGTGTTAAATAGCAGTGTGACATGCTATACTCGCAAAAAGCAACATTTTAACTTTAATATATATATTCGTAGTTTTAAAAATACATTTCTCACACCACATGACTATTTAAATTAACTGCATAGTATAGAAATCATCATAGATATAGCAAACGAGACTAAAAGTAGGTCAATTTAAAAAAAAAAAACACTTGGAACATTAAAAGATATACTGTATCACTTAACTATATCTTTTAATGTTCCAAAGGGCTCCAGATGCCTTTTCCCCAATACACTGTAAAAATATTTTCAAACAAGGATTACTACAGCACTGGATTACAAGAAAATACAAATTCAGTCTTTCTAATTTCACATTTCACATTTCACATTAATTTAATGTGTTACTTGCAGTTTGTTTCTAATTATTTGTGACATTTCCTAGCAATTTCTGTGTGAAAATTGTTTCCATACCAGTGGACATCATGACAAAATAAACAAAAACAATTAATAACAGTTTCTTTTTGGGGTGCAAAGTGTGGTAAAAGCCTGGTAAAAACACAAAGAGCTAAATAAAGCATCAGCCATAGGAACGTTAAAGCTATATGAATTGTGGCTTGGCCTGGATGCCAGATTCCCTGCCACAACATTCTTCATCTCAGTCTCTATGGATACTAAGCACAATATTATGACACTGTGCTTTGTGTAGATCTGTAATCCAATGTATTAAACTGCTGGGAAAAATGATAAAACTCTACTTTATGCACTTTTTGTCCTGTTTGCTTTGAAAGTGCTTTCACTTTAAGTTCAAACATGAAGGATGTTTCCCAGTGCATTCATTTGTTTGTGCATTTGAATGAAACCAAAGCAGATTTACCAGTCTGGGCACATTTCAGATGACTTGTCATCTTTGCAAATGATACTTAGTCTTCTTATAAATAATTAGCATACAGTGAGTCAAAAAATATCTCATTGCATCAGATAAATCATGCATAAATCAACTGACATTCATGTTGAGGAAAAATAGCACAAGAGCACAAGTTTCTTAGTGGCTAAACTAAACTTAACATGTCCATAACTGATTTGATGAACTATACTTGTGGTTACCCCACTATAGCATTATATTATATGGCTGCTACCCTACAGGACACCTATGTGAACTTGCCAATTGTTTTATATCTTATATCCAATGTAATGAAATTCATCTATGTTTGATTGTGGCTTAAGTGTCTAAATACATTTGGGGCCACTGTATAAACAAAAAGCGAAAGTAGATTCCAAGGCTCGAACAACATCTCTGGGAAATCATGTGATAAACCCTGGGATTTTTTTTTCATTTTTTATTGTACGTTATATTACATATACGGAAGTAAATCTCAAGAACAATGACTATTACCCAATATTGCCTCTATATCTAAAACCGAAAATGAAATACTGTAAACAAACCTCATCTGATTATCTGGTGAGGTTTTTTTTCCCCATGGTCAAACCCTCAAACTGGTACTTTTGTAGATCTTAAAATATAGGGCAACCTGCAATGGCACACTTTTTCCCACTAGCTGTCAGCATTGTACCAGCATTGAAGGTGAAACTAAAATCATGCACAGAATTAAATCTCGAGTCAGGTTTGAGGTTTGGACTAGCTACTGAACATACCTTAGGTTTGGACTGATTTATGTCATTGTATCACAAACGTTTATATGATTTGAACCACCAGAACTTAAAAACAAGTTCACCATAATCTCTAAAATCTAATGGCTGACTTGGTCATATGACGTATGTTCCTATAATACATATCATAAAAGTTTTTTTTTTTCTCCATCAAAGTCTCTGTCCAATGTTCAGTCAATGTTCCTATACAACACAAAGCTTAAATTGTAATTGAAGATCAATTAGCAACCTTCAGTTATTGTCAAACAGAGGAAGTCAGGGCTCTGTGCTCAGATAGACGTTCACTCAAACGTAACACCACCTTGTTTTGACTCATTTTGCACCTGTCTCATTTTTCATGTCTCTATCTAGAGTGCGCTACAAATCTTGAGAGTTTGCAGTGTAACCTACTGAGACGGCTGCGCAAGCATGCGGTAGCGTTCACAACCTCATAAAGGCTGCAGACAGAGACCATAACAAAACCATCAGGCTTTATAGGAGGGATTTTACTCTTTGCACTGACAATAGAGGCGTACTTTCAGTCTGTCTGTGCAAAAAAAAAAAAAAGTAATCTAGGCTTCTGCACTATTTAAAATAAAGGCTCTAAAAGGGAGTTTTTGTAGCGATGTAAAATAGAAGAACCATTTTGGGTTCTTCAAAGAACCTTTCTTAAACGTACATTTTTTTGTAGTGTCAAGAATATTTTAACATTCTAAAGAACCTTTTTCCAATATAAAAACCTTTTGTGGAACTATCCTGCCAATAAAGAAACTATATTTTTAAGAATGTATAGCTATCACAAACTTTATTTTACGTCATGGTGTTTCCTTGTTTAAAAAATCCCAAAACTTTGCTTATTTTCAGGTTTTGAATAATAGATTTTGCATTCTCAGATTTTAGACCCCACCATCATACATTGTCACCTGGTACAATGTTGCAGCTAGAGCCACAAAAAAAGTCAGGGCTTCTACACTTTTAAAACTAAAGGTTCAAAAAGGGGGGGTTTGTAGTAATATAATAGAATAACCATTTTGAGTTCCCTAAAGAACCTTTCACTGAACAGTTCCATTTTTTGGAATGGTGATAATGGTCCAAGGACCATTTTTTCTTAGTGTGAAGAATATTTTAATAATCTGAAGAATCTTATTCCACTATAAAGTACTTTTTATGCAATGGAAAGTTTCCATGGATGTTAAAGGTTTTTTGTGGAATCATCAATGCATAAGAACAAAGAAACGTTATTTTTAAGAGCATAGGTGTCACAAATTTGCTTAGTGTGTCTTAAATATCTCTTCTTTATTTTACGTTTCCTTGTTTTAAAGGTTACAGAATCCTAAAACCTTCTGTTGTTTAAATCAGATTTTCATTCTCAGACTGTGTACATCGTCTCCAAATTTATGGGACAATGTTGTAGCTAGAGCCACGCGAAGAAGTTTTATTACATGTGGTGTTGTTGCTATAAGTGATGGAAAGCAATCAAACATTTGTCGTGGAATTCTTGGAGTTACTCTAGAATTCCCAGACTTACGGTCGGTTCTATTAACGTTGAGAATGAAAGCCAGATTCTGGAGTACAGGGTGGTTTAGAGAGACGGAGGGAGGGAGGTTCCAGCCATGTGGTTTGGTCTCCCCGCCAAGACTGTGCTTCATTAAAATGAGGTCATTTACAGAGCCAGGAAGGAAAGAGAAAGAGAGGGAGCGAAGGAATGAGACAGGCGAGTGAAAAGAGAGATAAACCCATTGAGGGAGGAGGCTGTAATGGAGGCGAGTTGGGTGGCGGGTGGAGGGGGGCGGCAAAATGAAACCAAGATGAGTCACAGAGACCAAGAACAAGAAAGAAAGAGGGAGAGGAGGAAAGGGAAATCTTTCCTCAATGACTGTGCGAGTGTGGCCGGATTGCGCGGAGCAGCACGCGAGCTCACGGCGCTGGTGACGGTGGGATGAGTCAGGACCGCAGGCGTGAGTCAGTGACAGCATGACACTCGGGTCAGACACACCCTCGAACAGAAGTGCACAAACACCCATCAGTCATATAATGTAAACAGACACATATTCATGCAGCCTGGTGCACTAAGTAGCAGCCACTCACTGCTTGAAAAGCATTCATAAATACACCTTAAAGACGGAAAATCATACTCATATTTATGTAGCAGAGTTATAAACAAAGTTTAATGTTCTTACACACATAAATGACAAACTGAGGTTGAACTGAAAAAGGAAGCTTGTGTTTCGGTCTTTGATATAAATACAGCGGAAAGCTTGATTCCGATTGGTAAGTCACAGCCTATATTTTTATACAGTGACCACTGAACTATGTATTTATCTCCTATAGTTTCATGACTCCTGTATCACTCTACACTCTTTTTCTTATGACATAAAATTATTTCAACTTAAATCACTATTTCATATTTACTTATTTAGTAATTATGGCTGTATAATTGGCCAGTTACTACAAAATAAACCCCTTCTGGATAAAATAAGACCCCTGACTGACTGAACATAATCCCTTACATAAAAGCCATCTGTTGCAAAAATAAATAAATAAATAAATTAGTAATTTAATGAATAAATTATAAAAATAGTGACATAACAAATATTAATAGTAAAGTCATGAAGAATTATCATGATTATACATTTTATAATAAATTATAACAATTCAGTCAAGTAAATTAAAAACTCAATTATAATTAAAACCATATTTCTT